GGTGGGACAGGAGGAGGAATTTTTCCCTGGAAAGGGTGGTCAGGCACTGGCAGGGGCTGCCCAGGGAGGTGACAGAGTCACTGTCCCTGCAGGGATTAAAAGCCATGTGGATGTGGTGCTTGGGGACCTTCTTTATTAGTTGGTGTGAGAAGTACAAACCTTGTTTGTGCTCTGTCAGGATGGTCTGTGCTTTGCTGAGCTCTCAGAGTCCTGGTTACACACTCCTGCCAAGTCCTGCCTTCAGCTCTTCCACATCCCAGATGGAGCAGGGATGGACCCTGTGAGGAGACTCAACTCTGAGAACTCACCTTTCACTGCTGGTGAAAGCTTTGTGTGGCTTGGACCAGCTCTGAGAACTCACCTTTCATTGCTGGTGAAAGCTTTGTGTGGCTTGGACCAGCTCTGAGAACTCACCTTTCATTGCTGGTGAAAGCTTTGTGTGGCTTGGACCAGCTCTGAGAACTCACCTTTCACTGCTGGTGAAAGCTTTCTGTGGCTTGGACCAGCTCTGAGAACTCACCTTTCACTGCTGGTTCAGGCTCTGTGTGCCTTGAACCTCCTGCCTCCATGGGGGAGCTCGGGGTGACCCTGTCACCTGTGTGTGCTGGGCTGAGGCAGGGGGGCCAGGGCTCCTGGAACAGGCTCCCCAGGGAATGGGCACGGCCCCAAGGCTGCCAGAGCTCGGGGAGTGTTTGGACACTGCTCTGAGGGACAGGGGGGATTGTTGGGGTGTCTGTGCAGGGCCAGAGTGGTCCTTGTGGGTCCCTTCCAGCTCAGGATGTTCCATGATCTTACCTGTGATCCCTGGAGGTGCCCAGTGCCCAGAGTGCAGAGCCTCTGAAGCCCTGGCTCTGTTGGCCTCTGTGCTCCTCTCCCATTCCAGAGGGCCTGGACATCCCTGGTTTACCTGAAGATTCTGTGAAAGAAGAAGAAAAAAGCCTCTGTTCTGTCTCAGCCGTTTGCAGTTGATGCGGAATTGCTTTTATTTTTTCCTTTTATTAAACACTAATTACTTATTTATGTGTTTGTTTATTTCAGGGATAGACTTCAAGATTAAAACCGTCGAATTACAAGGAAAGAAGATCAAGCTACAGATCTGGTGAGTGCCACCCCCCCAGGGCCTGCAGGGGTGGCCTCCTGCAGCAGCAGCAGGTCCCCCTGAGGAGGGTTTGCTGCTCCTGGGAGTCCACTCAGGGCCCCAGTTCTGCAGCTCCGTGTTTGCAGTGGGGGTGTTTTTAGGAGGTGGATCTGCAGCAGTGCTGTAACCACAGGTACTGCTGCTCCCTCCAGGCCCTTGGCAAAGCCCTGCCTGGGCTCTGGGAGGAGAGGATCCTCGCAGGCTGTGATTTGGTGGGAAGTGGTTTAAAACTGGAATTTTTTAAATTAGGAGTTGCCTCCGATCCGTGGCTATAAATTGACTTGCAGCCCTTCTTTGTGTCAGCAGGAAAGTGCAGCCCACAGCTCCCCTCGGCCTGTAATTTTCCATGCTCAGCTGGGGACAGTCCTGCAGCGCCTGGAAACGGGGCTGTGCTCTGTGGGAATGTCTGACACGAGGCACAACCTGAGCTCCTTCCCCTGAGCTCGCTCTGCACTGGACTGGAGATCTTTCACCCTCCAGCAGCTCAGGGCAGGAGAGCTGGGGGCTGTTCCTGGGCTTGGATGGTTCCCCTCCTCACCCAGTGCCTTCCCCAGCTGTACTGGGAGCACAGAGCCTGAACTGGTTCAGAGCCTGAATGTGCCCTTTTTGTCCCCCACCGATAGCATGGCTTTGTCAGGCTGATGTCTGCAGGTGCAGGTGGCTGGGTCCCAGTTAGGGGGAGGCACTGGTTTCCCCCTGAGTGGGCTCTTGTTCCAGTGCTGTGGGACCTGCTGGGAGATCATCCTTCCTAACCAAGGCATCCGGAGTCATCCTTGTCACCAGCACTCTGAGGGGGTGTTAGAACTGAAAGAGAGCAGGTTTAGATTGGATATTGGGAAAAAAATCCTTCCCTGGGAGGGTGGGGAGGCCCTGGCCCAGGTTGCCCAGAGAAGCTGTGGCTGCCCCTGGATCCCTGGGAGTGTCCAAGGCCAGGTTGGACGGGGCTTGGAGCAACCTGGGATAATGGAAGGTGTCCCTGCCCATGGCAGGGGTGGGACTGGATGGGCTTTAAGGTCCCTTCCCACCCAAACCACCCTGGGAATCGATGACTAAACTTAAGAAAATCCATCATGAAATGTAAAAACTGAAAATACGGAAAAACGAGGCTGTTTAATGCATGTAGAGGTAAAGAACAAGCTGTAATGGAGCCCTGCACACTGTGGGGTTCAGTGCCTTGGAGAAGTGAAGAGGGGCTGGGGGAGCTGAGATTTGTACAATGGCAACTTTTAAATGTCCCAAAATCGGGAAGTCTTGGCCCGGTTCTGCTGCTTGTTCCTGCCAGGTTCAAACTGCACGTTTGAAATGAAACTTGGAAAGCAGAAAACGAAGCTCCTACTGCCAAAAAAAAATAAATAAATTAAATTAAATCTCAGCATTGTAGCTTCCAGCTTCTCCTGTCCCAGTTTTGCCCCGCAGTGCCTCGGTGCCTGGAGCAGCAGAGTCCTGGGAAGGTGTTTTGTGCAGGCCATGTATTTCCCCCCTGCTCCCTGGGTTTGAACTCACCCCACACGTGTAGGAGCTGTGTTTGGTGCTGGCACAGGGATGCTTCACCCCCAGGCAGCAGTTCAGTGACTGGAGTGTGCAAACCTGAGGCTGTTCTGGGAGCTCTTCCTGCTCCAGAGTGTGGGTCGTGCAGCACCAGCACTCGGTCTCGTTAAACCTCCTGACATTCCCTGGGGCCACTCCTCCTGCTTGTCCAGGCCCCTCTGGATGGCCCCATCCTTCAGGTGTGTCCCTGCACCACCATTCCCTTCCCTGCAGGGCAGGACAGCTCCTTCCCTCTCCTCCTGGCTGTGGGAGGTGAGCACTCAGCAGTGCCACGGCCTCTGAAATGCCTGTTCAGGAGTAAAGCAGGAACCCGAAGGTCAGGCTCAGTTAAACCCTGCCAGGGGGAGAAGCAATTTGACACCCCGTAGCTGTTAAATTTGGGGTTGCTGCTCAGTAAGGATCAGGCTGGGATTAGGGTGTTTTCCCAGTGCTCCAAATGGAAATGTGCCTGTTGCCAACCAAGCTGGGATAAGGGGCCGTGGAGAACTGGGTGGCAGGTGGGGCTGGGGCAGTGCCAGGCTGGGGCAGGGAGCTTTGGAGCAGTCCCAGGGTGTGAGGAGGAGGATGGACACTTCTCTTGGGTCTGGCCTTCCAGGGGAATGAGCTTGCCCAGGACAGATCCATCAGGAGAACTGCTGGTGTGTCAAATCCTGTGTGAAAGCACCTACAGAAACTGAGGATGTTCCTGGTGGGGTTATTGTTGTACCACTGCTGAGTCTGGGAGAACTGTTGCTGTGACAGTCACTCAGGATGGGCTGAGTCCAGGGTTTGGGAGAATCCCAGCAAAGGGTGGGACCTGGAGGGGTTGACACAGGGGTTGAATGTCTTGAAAAATATTAATACAGTAAAGCTCATAGTGCAGAGAGGGGAGGGAGAATAAAGGAGCAGAAGGAGAGATCAGTGCTCCAGGAAAAGGTGGTGTTGGCTTTGGGAAAGCACTGAAGGGCTTCAGAGGAGCAGAGCAGTGGTGCTAAAAATTGAGTGTAGTGTCACACACTTCAGGAACTCGGGCAGAGTTGCTTTGAAATGGAAACCAAAAGGCTGGGGCACAGTGTAATTCCCTGAACTCATCAGCATAATGGAGCCATTGAGAAATTAAATGTGGTTTTCCTAATGCCCTTTCCAGAGGGCAGGAAGAGAGTGTGACACACTCTCTGATCAGCACTGCCTGGGAGGAAAGGCACTGCTTTAGGAAGGATGAGGATTCCCCAGGACCTCAGGGCACACCTTTAAATCCACGAGGACACTGAAGGGGTAGGGAGGGTCTGGTAGAACCCATTGCCTTTTCCAGCACCAGAACATCAGTTCTGGTGTGAGGTGGGACATGGGAAACACCAGGAGATGAAGCTGTGCTGGGAAACCCCTCCCAGGATGTTGTGGTGGCTGTGGGGGCACACAGACGGGCTCACAGGGCATTTCCCAGAGGAGCAGTCTGGTTTGGACACTTCAATCCACAGAGGGCATCTCTGGCTCCAGAACTCCTTGAAAACCACAGGGAAATGGAAGCTGGAAAACCTCTGGCCTGCCCAGGTGCAGCTCTGAGGTGCTTGTGAGGAGGCACAGAAAGCAGAGCTGGGGTTGTCACCCCGGTGAAGCACAGGCTGGAGGAGCACCACTGTCACCTCAAAATCTAATTCTTTCCTGTTTTCCTGCTTAGCTGCTCCTCTGACTCTCCTGTCTTTGGTAGCATTTGTGTGTCAGCCTGTTTTCCTGCAGTCCTGCTGACTGATTCCAAGTTTTAGGAGGAGCTCTGCGTTTTTAGAATGCAGCTCTTAACTGTATGGAAGGCCACGAAGTAACATTTCTCCCTCAGTGTATCTCTGCTGGCAGCACATTTGCATGGCCAGAAAAGAGTCCTCACAATGTTGTTTTATTCAGCAGTGAGCTCCTTGCAGGAATAACCCTCTGCCCTGGGTCAGCAGTGCAGGGGAGCACAGTGTGGAGCAGCTCTCCCAGACCATTCCAGCCGGGGAAATTCCCTGTGATGTGCAAGTGGAGCGTGGTGGTGAACAGGCAGAGCTGCTCACAGCTCCACTGCCCCTCAGGAATTCTGCAGCTGCCCCAGGAAGGTCTCCGAGTTAATCCTCTGTGCCAAGGGCTGTGGAGGCCGTTCAGTGCACACAGACATCGAGGGGGAAGATGCTCCTTTGGCAAGTCAGATTCTTCTCTGCTTAGAGATTTTTTAAACTTTTTCCTGTCTGAATATTTCTCAGAAAAGCTGAAATCTCTGTATCCTACAAAATCTCAGAATTATTAGGTTGGAAAAGCCCTCCCAGCCCACAGATCCCCCCTGTGCCCCATCCCCACCTTGTCCCCAGCCCAGAGCACTGAGTGCCACGGCCAGGCCTTCCTGGGACACCTCCAGGGCTGGGCACTCCAAACCTCCCTGGGCAGCCCCTGCCAGGGCCTGACCACCCTTTCCAGGGAGAAATTCCTCCTGATGTCCAAGAATAATAATAATAAGAA